GGTCTTCAAGTTGTCAAGGTTGAGAAGCACTGCCCTACAGGGACTTCTTTGCAGGCTTCTAGTTTTTAAAGAAAAGAACCGCTTATGATTCAGTTGGGATAACAGCACGAAGGGCGTCTCCATATCATGGCTCTTTTTCATTACAATATACTATTTCTGATGCATATGTCAAGTCAACCTCGAAGTGAGTCCTGTTGGTCAAGCTCTACTGCCATCATTCCTTCTTTTCAAGCAAACTCAACCATTGAGGCATCTCACCAAAACAAGTCTGGGGCACAGCATGAACCAAAAAGCAAGTACAGATAATGTGGCCAAAACAGGGAGTTCAATTTCATGGGCATCCCAGAAGTAACAACTATAAATACTCTTCCTTGGTTTTCTGGAATGTGTAATTATTTTAAATCAAAGATGGACTTGATACATATCAATATTTTCCCCTGGTAAGCATGTTTTTTAAAAATCTAATTTACTTGTTTTGGCATACAGTACTATGAAGGCATAGCCCAGTAAACTTGAAATCAGCCGCTATTCTTAGAACATCAGGGCAAAGCTGTTGGCAATTGTCAAATAGTATATTAAAACTATATTTATTTTCTAGGAATGTATTATTTTCAATGTCTTTTTCCTATTTAATCTAGCAAAGAAGAAAGGGAAAAAACAGCTGTAGCCCGATTATGAGTAACCCCAAGTTGTTATGTTTCTATCCTCAAATGCGTTCCAAGTCAAGCAGATGTGCATATTAAAATAAATAAGCAAGCATGTAATTTGCAAGTTAGAAAACCTCATGGAACAAGTGAGGAGAAGAGCTTTTCCTCTATAAATAGACTTCCCCTGTAAGCTGGCTTTCCCCAAACTAATGTTCTCCAGAGGTGTTGGGATAAAAAAAAACCCCAGAATTCCCAACCAATGATGGAAATTTAACTTTTTTTGAAATTGAAAAGCAGAAAGGATACGGATTATTATTTCAAAGAGTTGGATGTGTCTAGCAGAAGTTCCATTTAGTCTGGACTAGCAGAAAATGTTCTGCATGTTCCATCTGTTAAAATGTGCTTCTTAGTTTCTGGGTCCTCCAAACACAAACTGCTTCACAGGTAGAAAAGATAGATTGGATTTTACCCTGTATGGATTTTTAGATGACAGAGTTCATTTCCTGCCAGAACATGATTTTACTGGTCGATCAGATATCCACAGAAGTCACATTAATGATCCCCAGAATCTCTTTAAGGTTCTCTATCTAGATATCTCCCATCGCCTCAAGGTAGGAAAGGCCATAAAAAAGGAAAAAATAGCTGTCTGTTTTTATTATTGTAATCAAGTGGCATATTATCATGAGAAAAGTTAGATACATATGAAAGTTGTAGGTCAATAGGCATTTCAAAAATTGCTGTTAATTACACTATTGTTGTTTCATATACTGGAAGCCTTATGGTGGAATTGTTCCAGCCCCATTCCCAGGGAGAAAGACAATGGACTTTTAGCTGAGATGTTTCCTCAACCTTTGAGAAAGAACGTATCATTGGGTTGGGGATAAGACATGAGACTTAAACTTCTGAAAAATCTTGGAGAACAGATACGTGGTCAGCCTGAGGAAGCCCACTGCTTCATTAGGAATTGGATGAATTGGAGTGGATTCCATGTTTACATTCTCCTCCGCATGTTTTGGTGAACATCAGCCCTTCTCCTAGCATTGCTTCTTGACTCAGTTCCAAAACCTGACCCCTTCAGTTTCCAACACAGCTACTTCTAGGCAGCAGGCAAATTAGACCTCTGTCTCCTCCACTGAGTTGAACCAAGTGTTCAGGGGGGCATAAAATTCCATGCCACGTATATTCAGAAGTTTCTGTTCCGTGTTGCTTCATAAAACAGCAAAATTGACCCAGACAGGCCAAGAAAGGAATGCATTTCCCACATCCATACTGGCCATTCATCTAAAATTACCATTCATTTCCCATTTGTGAAAACTTTCTGCTTCTTTATACTGACGGGAATGATTTCATTAAGCTGTTCGTCAGTGGACGCTGAAAGCCCTCAAAGAGGTCTCTTACGTTTTTAATGTCAAAATGCATCCTTGAATTAAAACTTTATGATAAATGGTATCCGTGGGATCTGGTGTCTCAATGTCCTGAGTTATTAATTCTTGTGGGTCTCACATATACGGCTGCCAGACTTCACACAGGCAGGGTAATACATTTCTACTCTTAAAACTCCAACCTGCATTCATTAATTAGCGGACAGCAGAAATAGTAAGGTAAGTTGCTTTATTGCAGAAAAGAAGGAAGTCATATATATGCAGAAGATTTGCGTATTGCAGAACACAGAAATTTGATTATATAT